GAAGTAATTTTCTTAAATACTTTGTTTGCCTTTCTTTAAAGTGTGCCTTCAGTGGAGATTTAGGTCTTTGTTGCACTACGATGTTGGAGTTAAATTTTTCGTATCTTGCGCTTCGGACTGTGACACATGTATGATGCCATAGTCTCATGTCTCCATTTCAGAATAAGATATTGTCCATGCTTATCTAAAAGATTCAATAAAAGTTGCTTTTATCAGAGGCTATGCGATTTTTATTCAAGTAATTGCAAAGGAGTTAAGGAATTTACCACCTCCAATGTATTGTCATCTTATGTGTTCCGCGTCCTGGCGTCCAGGACCATATGCAAAGGCAAAAAACGTTTAACTACATGCCGGGTAGCATGCGAGCAAGATATTTTTATTTGTTGATGCAGGGTTATGGCAGTTAATGTTAATCTAAGGCTTGTAGATAGCTGATGTGATGTGAGCTTGCATGTACATAACAGCGTACAGCCTCTGCTCTTATGCCCATTGAAGTTGTCTGAGATCTCAACATTTAAACAATAAAGTTTGTACAGGACAACAGTTAACCCGCATGCAGACTTTACGAATAGATGGAATTATAGATTCTGCGCAACGGCGCTTGTTTTCTTGTATCATCCAGTATGTCAGCATTTCTTTGTGGAATCCTCTTTTTCGCAATCTTTTTTGGGCACAATAGAGTACCGAGGTGTGGTGTCATCAAAAGTCGATTTTCTTAGAATTTCTAAATTTTGACCACATAAATTGTAAGAAAGTCATAAAATACCTCCCAATATGCAAAAACAGTTAAATATGTTCGAAATTAGGCGAGATATGGCCAATGAAAGATTTCAAGTTTGCTAACGGATTACGGTTATTCTGGCCTGGTTCATAAAGTTATGAACCAAGACGAAATTACAGAGGTTTGATAGGGCAAGAGCCTCTGCTCATGTGGCCATTTCTCAGCCAATTTGTAACAAAATCATCTTCAAAATCATTTGTGACGTCGTCCCTTCGGTACTCTATGGCTTCGAAATGAAAGACATCTCATTGTCTCGTGAAGAGACATCTCATTGGTGCATGAAAAGACATCTCATTGGCTCTAAAGACAAGGAATTTTGAATAAGGGACTAGTCTTGCGAAATACGTGATAACAAGAAAATGTGTCCCGTTGCGCAGACTCTACAATTTGCACTATTTGTAAAGTCTACACGCAGGCTAGATAGCCGCACTGTCTGTGGTTCTTGGCTAACAGATAAGAAGTTTTGTAGGATTTTTCGTATCTATCAGACAATAAACCGACTTGCTGAATTGTCTGAAAGCCTAACTGAGAATGCAATGTTCTGAGCTGCATTGCGTATTAATTGATTCAGCTTTCCATGTATGCAGAATTCACTTTACACCTTACGTCATTCGAGACCACAATCGTTTGCATGATATCAAACGTCAACCCGCTTGATGAATTTATGGTCATGAATAATTAATTTCTACGAGCACCTATAAGAAATTTGTTGTCCAATTACAGCAAAACGACTGGCAAATATTAGTCCACGGCTTTCAAGAAGTTTCGTTGCCTATCATGGAAACCTTTTACAGCGTAAAGTATTCCATTTTATTGTGAATTGAACCGTTTTATCATATCTGCTTCAATCTCAATCGACATCTATATTTCGCAGCCTTGTATTAGCAGTTGATTGAATCAGACGGTCAAGAACTGAAGATGTCGAAAGTGGCCAAAGATCCAATTAAGGTATGCTTACAGCTGCTAAAATTCTTTCTACTCAACGGAAATCTTTCTCCGTTAATGTGTTAAAATATTTTAAGCAAAAGACAAAATTATCAAGCAATATATTTTTTAGCCTTATTACTCAATAATCTTGAAGATTTTGCTTTTCAGAACTTTAAAAAAGCCTGCCTAGAGTGAATAATCAAGGCAATTACGAGTGGAGTTTGATTTTATGACAAAAATTTCGACAATTATAAAATACTATTCATATTTTTTATCATTTCGTTGGTGTTACCAACATTTTTTTCATTGACTATTCTGACTATAAATAATGGATTTAATACTGAAAGGCTCTCTCAAAGGATTCTCAAAAACGATAGCAAGAATTGGGTTATTGTTCTACATTAAGGGTAGAGGCCTAACCTCTGCTATAAATCAATTGACTTTTCTGTTTATTATTTTGCGCAAATATTGCGATTTATAGTTTTTAATTTTTCCCTCTGCTTCTTTGGCTTGTGTTGCATTTTGCCTATGGCATTATTTGAGAGGCATTCCACTACCTTAAAAAGCGTACGGGATTTTTGTGATTTCTAAAATCCTTGAACAGATTTTACAGGGTGGTCCGGATTTCTTGAAATTTCCTAAAAATGTAGAGGGACTTTCTTGAATACCTTTGAAAATGTGTAAATGTATCGTAAATCCATTAATAATCTTTTTAAGTGAATGAAATCGAAGCTGAGATGACGTTACCTATTTACAATACAACTACGATATTTCCTTAGTAGAGTTCTTAGGTGTGACGTCTTAAAGATCTCTTTTTAGAATGTTTGAATTTTGACCACATAATCCAAATGAATATCGTGAAGATCTTTTAAAAATGCAAAAGTGTTTAAATATGTAAAAAATCTGATGATATATTGTCAATGAAATATTAAAATTTGCTAACGGATTACAAAGTTATGAACAGAAAGTTTCTTAATACATCTTCCGAACTATTACTAAGATTTTACAAAATTCATAGTTAATGGAATATTTGAGAGATTGGAATTGTTTAGGATCGCATAAAGTTTTCCAGGAATTTTCGGATTTCTAAAGGATTTCTTGCGGTTTATGGATTTTTTTCGGATTTTCTAAAGGGGTGTGCGGGATTTTTTGAAGTGAAATGCGCCTCGGCAGTATTAACGTACAATTTCATTGGCTTATGACAGTAATAGCCTACAGTCGTATTGGCTTTCGTCAGTATTAGCTCACCATAGTATTGCCCTTGGACAATTTTTCCTTTCGATACTATTTCCTTACGATAGTATTGGGTTTGATAGTATTGGCTTATGATACTTTTTGCCTATGACAGTATTAACGTACATTAGTACTGGCTGTAGTCAGTATTGGCTTTCGAAACTATTGGTTTGCGATGGTATTGACTCTGGATGTTATTGAATTTCGATGGTATTAGCTTATAATGGTATTTGCTCATGATGGTGTTAGCTCTAGATTCTATTTCTTTACAACATAATTGGATTACGATAGCATTTGATTTCGATAGGTTTCAAGGTTCTTCATTTTGGTTGAGACAAATCTTCTGTTTTTTTCTGTAAAAGAACAGGCTTTCAAAAGAAATCTTGTTTTCAATGTGGATTGATACATGATAAAAGATAAAACGGGTGACATATTTGCTCTTGTCATTTCGCCAAAACCGTCTTTGAACTTTTGAATCAATTTAAATTATAATGTATTTAGATTGCTATTTACCATGAGAAAATATCCTTTGCCGGTGGTGCGGCTTCAATAGATTTACATGCTTTGTTTTTGCAAAAGCAGAGGATGAGTTATCAATTAAAGCTATTGAATTTTTCCATTCAAGTTCCGAGATATGTGCTAATTTCTTAGGTCTCGTAAGATTACAAATAGGACTGAGTCGGCTTTTTTATAGCTGGTGCATATGATTTAAACTTAAAATGTCAAATCACACAATATCTTGAAGTACTTTCCACAGCATTACATTGTATTGTGTCCCTATCTTTCTTTTGGACAGAAAAATTCAGGGAAAATGGAGTCTGACCTTGAATTGCAAGACTTATCCGATGACCTTTACGCAGATGAGATGATAGAGTTGGAATACATGCTTGCAAAGATAGAACAAGATAAAAAGATTGGGAAAAAAAAGGCTGCGCCTGTGAAAGAGGATGATCCTATCAAAGAAAGTGGCAGAAAGAAATTAGCAGCTGTTGTTATTGCACTTGGAATCGAGGCCGAACTGCCAGCTGAATTCTATGAGAAGTTATTGGCATCAAGAAGAGCCAAAATGTTGATTAGGACGATTACAGACAGTAAAGAGGCCAAAGATTTGCTGAGCAAAATGTCGAGTTATTAGAACAAGACTCATTTATACGAGATTTGATTGAATTTATAATGACACTTAATCCTTTTCATGGGATGGTACCAGGAACTTCGGATTAAATTAAGAATTGGGAAGGGACTGAAATGTTTGGGGGCTTAAAATGCAAAACATCTGGAGCAAGATTATTTTCTATTGTTTCAAGTACAGTTTTGAAAATTGTTGGGGACCCTCCCCAATAAGACCCTCCCGCTTTTCCGGTCCCTCTACGATGGCAGGTACTGTTTGGCTGCATAGAGTATCAAAACCGTCCTAACAACAAGAATTAATGGAGTAGGATTCTTGTATAATATTGTAAATATTGCTTGCTATTTGTTCTTCGTAGCATAGGTGTTTCAATAACTAGAGGAACGTTTAGTCAAAATTAGACTTTTTAGCGAAAATTTTCATTCCCAAAACATATAGCAGAACCATCCATTTAACGCCTCAGGCGTGAGTAAAACCCTTGTTTCTCAACGGAGGGGGCTTGAAAAAGAGGGGGCGTTATAAAGGGAGGGCCGATGAGACAGTGAAGAACGTTTAGCTTTTATCGTTGTTAATTAGAAAGGTCTTATTGGAAATTCTAGTATTGCATTTACAAGTAAGAAAGCAAGTAGAGGTTTTGACAGATCTTGACTTTTTTTCTGTTCTGCTTCTTTTGAAAGTAATAAGCCTTATATGGTGTACTATAAAGGCCCTTTTAATTTTCGAAATTTTCTAAACGACGGGAGGTTTTGGATAGGTAATTGAGAGCAGAGAAATAGGATATTGTACTTCACTGATCGCTTATAGAATTTGTTTTAATTGTTCGATGAAAGTTATACAAATTGTTAGATCGTTGAAAATCTTTATTTTAGGACTCGGCTTCCATAATATGTTTAAATATAGCATATTGAAAACGCCTTTTTCTCTTAATAAAATCACTGAGGCTCGATGTGCACATACCCACTCTCTGGAGAAAAATTAGGAGAAGGACAATGTATTTTTGAAAATTTTCTTTCTTGTCAAGAAACCGTGCTACTAAAACATTCATGCAAAAATTTTGATACCAGTCTCAAAAGAAATTTTTAGTAAATAGTTGTATAAAAACTCTTGTTGGAATAAACATGATATTTCAAACACCTGAGCCTCATTTTAGTCAAATATTACCTGGTTCTTATCGATGAGTAGAGTTTATGCTCAGTCAGATATTCGAAATGTTTCAGACTTTCACTTCTACCAATAACCACCTTACGATTTGGGTGGATCCTTGAATTTGGGTATTTTGCAATACTTGCTTGCGAGTCTGACGGCACATGCTCCGTTATGATATTTTCAGAAAGGGTCTGGGCATTACAACTGTTCGTAGAGGGCATGCGTACCCGTGACTTGGTTGGAAACAAGTATGAGAGGCATGCAGTAGTGCCAAGACTTTGAAGCAGCCCAATTAAATTGGTTTTTCTTTCTAAATGTCGTTTTTTGGGCTAACCTGGAGTATAATGCCAATTGGTAACTGAATTGTTGCTCTTCAGAAATTAAACAATCAATTAACGTAACTTGGGATTATTTTTCTACTTTAAAAATGACTTGAGAAAACAAAAAAATTCCTTAAGATTTCAGCAGTCTAAATTGGGGTTTAATATGTAACGGTCTTTTTTGTTACTCTTCTTCATAAATAGCTTCTCTCAAGTCTTGAAAGGCCCCTCGGAAGGCGCCTTTGTGCAACGAATTCCCAGCCTTCATTTCGGCATTCAAATGCTGCCACTTAAAATGGTAGACCTATAATGGTAGGTCTGATTTCAAATTCAACCTCGTGAATATTATTCTCGTATTGAAACAGTATTATGGTCATGATTTGATCAAGCTTTTCTTGGAAAGACCTTTCTTGCAGATTTGTTTACAGACACAACGTGGGTTATTGCCATTTTTATTGTTTGGTTGTTCTGCTCTGAGGTTTGTGTTTAAATTTATTCTGTTTTGATTTAAGTTATTCATCTGTGTGGTCCTTTGTCAAACTTTACAGAACACTTTGACTCAAGGCCCTGGCGAAATGGACTTTCTTTGAATGTGCAGAATGTAAAGACATTTTGAGACGATAGAATAAATTGACTCTTGAACCCACGCACATCAGAAATTTTGAATAATTTCCGTTGTGATTATTTTTCGTTATGTTCCAGAGAATCTCAGCTACACAGCTGGTCAATGTTGCTAGACTGTGCATACAAACCATTGTCCCTGGTATTGACATTATATTTCATTTTATTAGAAAATCCTTTCTGTGAGATGTGACGCTCTGCTAAAACTTCTGTCCTTCATTTTCTCTTCAAGGTATGAGCAGTTCTTGTCAACAATATACAGAGCTATTAACCATTTTCCAAGCAACTTTCTCAAGGTGGGTTCCTATCTGCTGATTGCCTTCAATTAGAAGATGCTATTGTCATATTAACTCTGTATGACCAATTTTATATCAAGTCTTTTCGGAATTATTATCCTTTATAAATACGTTTCAAATTGAAAGTTTTGAAATTATTTGCTTGAAGTTATTGTGCGTTATGGCAGATCAGTGTTTTAAAGAAACGAAACGAAGAAAATAAAAATATAAGGACATGAAAACGTCATATTTGTCATCACGTGATCACCAGAAGCCATGCAATCAATAAGCGTGAAATACAACCAGAAGAAACCAAAACAGCAAAAATAATATAATACATTCTACTTTCCTTTACACTGCATTAGGAACTTTTCAAAATCATTAAATAAATAAATTCTATACAAAACAAATATCTCATTAAATCTTAAGCAACAATTAACGCAACAACATTATCAATTGACAAACAAAAATTGTTCTGATGTACAAGAAAATGTTTAAGATCGATGACATTTTACTGAAAAACATTTTACTGCAATAGGTGACAGCCTTTAGAAAGAAAGCATGGTGCGGGTTTAACGAGGCACAGTGCATCCTTGTTTATCCAAGTAGGTTGGAATGTAGTGAGGAGAACTGTTTAGATAAGCCAAACGTTCAGATGGTCGAGGATAAGATTTTGGTCAGAAAATCACACAAAAGAAACAAGAAAGAAACAATATCCTTTTAAGATTTCAGTAATAGCATGGCAATACGATGACATTAGATAGATTCGATCCATTTTTCAGAGGTTTCCATTCTCTGGTTGGAAAAACGTGTGAAAAAAAATTATGTTGTAAAATTATAATTACTGACCAACACGTTCATTGGTCCCACAGATAAATTTATAAAAGCAGATATAAAGAAGATAAACTTATTTGGATGCTTTCTCAATTTCCTGGATTCATTTTGGGGCTCGAATTTTATTGGAGATCAGCTTAAATAGTTTTCTGCCTAATGAAATATGGTCTGATAAAAACTATTGCACCCAAAACGGTGTTCGGTAAACGATGTTCGGATAAACGAGAATACACTGTAAAATAAAGACTTTGACACCAACGCGAGTTTGCTTTCATCGCTGTTTGAAGTATATGAAGCTAGAGCCGGGAGTGCTTGAAGGTAACCCTTGGTTTATCTCAAATAAGCTGGTTTCAAAACCCCCTCCAGAAGATATCTTGTGGACTCTGATATATTCATATGCAAAAAGGCCGGTACTCGTATGGTGAAATATAATAGTTTCAGAATTTGATCTTTCTGAGAATATTCATACTGAAGTTACTGTTTAAGTTAATCGAGAATTGGGATACACTGTTGTACCTTTAACATATTACACTTTGTACGAAGAAGGGAATCAAGAATGGCTGAAAAACATTTAGCCATTTTTTTATGAAATTGGTTTAAAAATTCCACGTTAGAACTTGTTCTTACAATCAAGGCCATGTCAAGGTTTCAAATAAATGGTTATAACAATTGTAACTTAGTCCCATTTCAAAAGCAAAGATTTTGTCAAAATGGATAAAGGTGAGGATCTCATTGAGCTTTCTAAAAGAAGTTAACCCGACTTTTTACCACTTTTTTAAAGAATTCACCACTTTAAATTACATTTGTAAGAGGCTACATCTTATTCTTACCTATTGGCAGAAGCTAAAAGAACTGTAACGGTAAAGGTTGTAGAAATTCTACATCGATATTTTAAATATCATTTTTAAGAACAGAACTACATTTTAAAAAAAATAAATTCCAAAATTTTAAAACTTTGAGCAAAACATATTTACTAAAAATTCTAAAAACAGTTAACTTAAACTCAACCAATAAACGTCTCAATGCTAACGATTGGCTTTTTATTTGCTAAGAGTTTTATGAAAAGTATACATTTCGTTATGTTTTGGAATCTTAAACTAGATCTTCGCACAGGGACATCTTCTTGCGACCAGGATTGCCAGATGTTTGGAGCGGTTTTCAGCCAAATACTTTACGTTTGACGGCCAAATTCGGCCAGCCAAGCAAAACACACAAAAAGCTACATTTTTGCTAATTTCGTGGAATAATAGTGTAATCAAAAGTGGCTTTGTTTGTTACAAAAGCTCCAACTTGCTTTCAATTTCAATTTTCTGCTATCTTTTACTTTGTCTTTTGCTTCGTTATTTGCAATTTTAAGATTATTTAACAAAATTTTGGATATTGTCTGTGCTAAAGTTGTTCTTTTTTTGTATTTTTGTGGCCTTCAACATGCTTTAGCTTTTTGGCCAAATCAATTTTTGACGGCCAACAGCTTTGAAAAATGGCCAGAATGGAAAATTTGGCCGTCAAAACGGCCATATGGCAACCCTGCTTGCGACAATTTCACGTATAAGGTACATTCAAGTAACCAGCTTTGTATACGAAAGAAGATTTGTAGAAAGAAACTTTTGAAAGAAGAATGACTGCTTCTCATCCAGCATTGCTCTGCAGCATTGCATTTAAAATTACTTTGGACTAAAAAGATTCAAAGAAGTAGAGGGCAACAAGACTTAAGAAATTGCAGAAATTGCAGTTTATACAAGTTGAAGAATGTAGTAAAACTCAATGATTGAAGAAAGAGAAATGGTTAGATAGAAGGAGGAGAATTTTGGGGGGGGAATGGGATTCCAATTTTCAATCTTTTTTCCTTTTAAGGTTTGGGAGATCAGAATATTGACATCTTGCTGCCGTGTTAATAACACTTTCTTCTCGTTTTTCAAGAGGATATGAGTCAATTATGCGTATCTAAAAGCAAGTAAATTTCTGTTATAGTATCTTAGATTTATTAGAAACGCCTTCATGTTTTAATAAAGAGGTATTACTCGCCTCTTCCATCCGCAATTCATCTTTATGCGTTGTTGTCATATGTCTTCGCATGTTCCCAGACTGGCTAAAACACTTTTGACAAAAACGGCATGGGAAAGGTTTGTCTCCACTATGGGTTCTTTTATGTTTTTGCAAGGTGGAGCCATCTGTGAATCTTCTTGAGCAAAACTCGCATTCATATGGCTGTTCGCCAGTGTGGATCCTCAGATGAGTCTTCAAAGACGTTTGGTGGGCAAATCTCTTCATGCACACACTGCACTGGTGAGGTTTTGCACCAGTGTGGATAAGTTTGTGGTTCTCTAGTGTTGCATTTTGTGAGAAGCAACGCTGACAAATTTTACATACATATGGCTTTTCTTTTGTGTGTCTTCGAATGTGGCTCTTCAGCGTAAAAGGTCTCGCAAACACCTTGTGGCAATAGGGACAAGTCCTGTTTTTGAGGTTCTTTGGGGCATTTGACTGGTCAGTTGCCTGTCCCTCTATCACTGCTGTTTGTGTGATTCTTTTATTCAGTTCAGAGGAATTTGGCTTGTTAAGATCAGCTGCAATGACCGATGGGGCAGAGCAGCAACTCTAAGGATTGAAGAAAGACGATTGAGCTTCTGCTACAATAATATAAGGAAG